CCCCCCCCCCTTTTTTCCTCTTTCTTTTCTCAGCGGCGCGAGAGAATTTTACATCGGCCTTCGCGCGGAGGGTCGTCGAGATAATGGGATTTCGCGGGAGAACACCTGCGTGATAATCTTCGGCGATATCGTTTCGTCCGTTTATAGAGAGATACTCTTTACGCGCTCGTCCGACGTAACGTACGGAACTTCCCGACTTGCGGCAGCAGCCGTGAAACGACGATGTCCGTTGTCGGGTATAAAGATAAAATTCGCGATAAAAGTGGATTCATAGGTAATTTCAAAGTTATTTTCCACGGGCAAGATTCAACCACCTTCTCTCTCTCTCTCTCTCTGCGCGGCTGTCGTAAGTTAATTACCTCGCGCGCGCTTTGCGTCGGTTTCGCTGGCGGGCGAGCGTTTGAGTTCAGCGGTTGAACTGAAAATTCCGCCGTGATTAGCCGAAAAGCAGGGAATCTCGTTGTTTATCTGCGAGGAGATCCGCGCGACGCTCTCGTCCACCACGCCTAACTTTTGTTCCCTTCCCCAATAATTAGCCATGAATAAACCGGTTCTCCGTGGGTGATGCGACGCGGCCGGAAATGGTAGCTTTTTATGAATATACGCTCATGGAGCGCGTGTGCCGCGGATAAACATTAATTAGATACCCTTCGTCGAATGAATTCGCGGGGATGAATGCGCGCCTCGTCCAACGTCCGAGGGCTATTGAAACACTTTCCTGTGGCGCGACGATGGCAGACGGAAGGCTGCGTGTGTGAACGGACGAGCAATTAATTTCTATCACGGCCGGAGAAACATCAACGAGCAACCAGCCCCGTTGCGCACGAGCACGCGCGCGCACGCCGGACAGGGCAGGACAGACAGAGACAGACAGACTGAGCACGTGCCTATGTGCGACTCGCGAGAGAGACGGAAGACGACAGGTGCGCGCGGTAATAATGCGTCGCGCACACATCGAGCGCGCGTACACGCGTGAATCGCATTCCGGCCGGGTCGCCCTCCGTGCCGGAGACGCAAATAACGATGGATCGTCGTCGTCGTTCGGTACGTACACGCGGAAGGGACAACTCTCGTCGGTGCGACCGCGAGTTGCCGGGAAGGGGACGACGAAAGCTCGGTTGCGGAATGGAATGATTCCCGCCGGAGGTTTCCGCTCGGTCGATCGCTCCTCCCGCTTGTCTCGAGCGAGTTTTAAGGAAGTGCCAGAGTCGAACTTGGCAGACGGCGATAACGCAGAAACGATCGACGAAATGTTGGGTTATATAAACACTGATCCGATCGCGCTACTCTTTTTGTACGTCTTGTACAGGTCCTGCGTAAGTGCGATGTGAATGTGAACGCTATGTGCGCGTGCTACTCCGTTTCTTCACGGAAAGTCTAACGGGAAATGTGTAAAGATTTCTCCACAAACTTTGTCTTATTTTCAGCTTTTCAGGTTTTGGAATTTGTTTAAAAAGGTATGAAGATGGTGATACGTTCCGAATTAAAGCACTGACATATTCGGTGCGCGTACAAGCCGCAGGATTTCTGTGTCAGTGAAATATTTACGCTAACTGACAGCTGGAGGATGTCAATGTTGAAATGTTTAATTGTTTTCATCAAATATCGAGCGATGCTTCAATTAATTTCGCGCGTACTTTCACTATAGTAAAAGCATTTGTACAGTTCTGTGCAGCCAACAAGACGTGAACTTTGTAGGAGAAAAAAAAAAAACCGTATTCCGCCGGTAGATTTTTCGAGTATGGCATTCCCTTGACGCAGCTGAATGTTCACACAAATGTTCTCAGTCTTACGGCAACAGAATTTTCACTCCTCATCACCGAACTTCCGTTCGGTTCCTCTTCAGTCGCAGGAACTGAGTTTTTTCCCCGTGTACGCACGCGCGCGCGCGCAAATACACGCGCACACCCGTGCTGAAATATACGAGCAACGCACAGTTAGAAGTCTACGACGCGGCATGCATGTGCCAACACGCACACACACACATACACGCACGCACACGCGTAGCATTCGAGGACGCAGGTGCCGCTCGAATGAAAACTCAACCGGAATAGCCCGCCGAGACGCGTTTCCGGAGATATACGCGGGATGGTATGGCCAGGCATTTGCGTGCGGGGACACAATATATGCGTATCAAGGTGGAAAAAAAAATAAATGAAAGGGGACGGTCGGGAATAAAATAACTTCAGCGCAGCCTGTGTTTGGTGATTTCACCGTCGCGTATGGCGCATCGAGTCGACGGATACCAATCAGGGCTCGATTGCACCGGGAGTCGCAATTAAACACGTCGGAAATATTCATCGGTCGCCCGACGGCCGGCGTCGGATCCCCCGGGTTCATTTCTCGGCCTCGTCAAATCACACGATGCTTCTCGGTCGCTTATATCCCTGTTGCCTTCCGATTGACCTCGATATTCTCATTAGACGTGATATTAATATATCTCTGAAACGTCCTCCCGTGACCGAAACGTTCGTGCGTTTAAAGATACGATTAGAATAATGAAATCTTCCAACGTCTTGTTTGAAAGAAAGAATTTATACGCGGCGCACACTTCGGGGAAAATTCACTCAAAAAGGAAAATTTCAATTTCTAATGCAACACAGTGAATTATTATATTACATATCGTGAAATATAAACTTTGTATTTCGATGTAATAATTAATCATTAATTTGGTCGGATTTGCTCTCGATATATGCGATTGAACCAACATTCTCGCGGGAAAAGGGAGATAATAGAAAGTACGAGAATCTTCCGGTCGTTATTCTCTATGAAAATGTTTAGATATAATGGGAGTTTCTAACAAGGCAATTAACTGTGGTTAGCGTCTCATTATCGACTCCTCGATCGTAATTTTAACCATAATGCGGATAGAGAAAGGAAATTTACCTCATTATGGTTAACCCGCCTCGGTACTCCAGGGACCACACTATCGTAATTCATGGCTGCTCATTACTTGCGCTACCCTTATGCATTATAGGTGCCACTGTGGCAGGCACACGTGTATTTTCATGTTAACATTACGCTGCTGTTTAACGCTTCACGTTAACGTGCAACGCGCGCGCAACCTCGGAAATGATTACTAGTTTATACAATCCCGTTATATCCGCAATTGAATATCAACATATACATGATAAATCATCATGTACATGATATCGAAGTATATATATATATAAAATATATTATATATATAATATATAATATACATAAATATATATAATTAATATAATATATAAAATTTATTACACATTTTATATATATATATATATATATATATATGTAATATATATAATTTTTTATATATAAACTACGTATATTTTCCGACATCTTTCCAAAGTGTAATCGAGATACGCCTGGAGGTCTAAGGAAGAAGAGACAAGCGTACTCGGATGCAACGCAGATCAAAAGCACGGGCGATGCGACAGATTACGCGAATTTGGCGCGGAATCGGTGCCGAGATCGACTTTGGTGCAACCAGCTCCGACACTTTTCGACGACCCCCACGACCCGCGTCTTCGACGTGATCCGACGCGGGAGTGGCCTCTCATATCACTAGGATATTCGGATTTCGGCGCCGGTCACTCATTCATTCTCTCGACAACTACATCAATACACCATCATCGTGCGATCATGCGACTGCGATGCGATCACAGGCGAGTCTACGGATATATACACACACCTACACGCACATAAATCGCGTTCATTCAACGGCGGGAGGTGGAGGGGATATGCACACGCACGCACACACGCTCACACGCACACCCACGTGCAGATATACACATCGCACTAATCGCCACAGAAACAGGATAGACTGCAGATGGTCAAAGTAGTGTCATGCAACGCACGCACGCGCCGCTGTGGGGGCGCGTGCGATTTCGCATCGGCATGCGGGACGGGTGCGAGGAGGGGCCCAGGACCGGGGGTTGCGAGGGGGAGGCGGGGCCGTGCATTTTTTACTCGCGCCTTATGCGCCGGCATCGGACCGTTGCGTTCTTTTTTTTTTACCCTCGCACGCACGTTTCCGGAATTTTTTCGCGGCTACGCGACCGCGTAATCCGCGCCTCCCTCTCTGTCTCTGTCTTTCTCTCCCTTCCTCTCTCTCTCTCTCTCTCTTTCTCTTTCTCTCTCTCTTTCTCTCTCGCTCTCTCTCTTACTTTCTTTCTCTCTCTGCCTCTCTCGTTCTCTTTCTCTCTATTTCTGCCGCGGTGCGTCCGTCAATCTTGCATTCCTCCGTCGTACAAGTTTTATATTTAGCATCGACATCTTGTGCATACGTGCGCTACGATGAATGTGAAATTCGCGCGGATATACCGGACATAACTTATATGATCGGGCGAGATGTAATCGCGCTTACTTGCGTACGCGGACACGCGATAATTCAAACTCACGGCTAACGATGTCTTCACAGCGACATTTAATCCCTGCAGCGGTGCGTGAATGACAAGTGTCTTCCATTTTAAATTCAGACTTTGAATAAAGAATAAATGCTTTGGAAAGTAGTAATATGTATGTATGTGGAAATAGCGATCATAAAAGGTTTTTGTTTAAAGCAAAATCGAAATGAGATTGTTACTTCTTTTCCTCGACGTGAAAACGAAAAACGAATTAGGAACTTCAATGCGCATGGGTGACACCTGTCAAACGTGCGACCTCCGCTGGGTTAAGACGCCCTTGAGAATATCCCCGTTGGAAGACGGCAGGGGATTAGTAAGGCGTAAGGCGTTTGAAAAAGTACACCGCCCGGACGCTAAAAGCCTCGCGAGAATCTTTTGATCGCGGGTATGCAAATCCGTAAATTTCTGCATCGCGTCGGAGCGTGCGATTCCAAAGACGCGCGCCTTCGTGAGATTCAATAATGCGACGCCCTTTGAACAACGAGACGATATGTGCTCTTTGAGACCCGTACGCGGCGTTTACGTCGCTGCGCTCGCGCCGGAGAATGAGTCAAAGCTCCGTTGGCGCGGAACGGATGTACGAAACGACGCAGGAACCGGTTCCATCTTACTGAAAGAGTATAGGATATCGCGCGCACCGGCTATATAAACCGGCATGCCCGATCTTTCGAGGAATACGAATTCGACACCAGCCGAGGGAGCTGCAGCCGAAGCCGTGTGTTTGCCTTTCGCGGAGGATTTGCATTCGTCCGAGAAGCGGATACAACGACGAGCGTCTCTCTCCGTCCTCGAGGGCGGCTTTCCTCTCCCGCTTTCTCTCTCTCTCTCTCTCTCTCTCGCGTCGAGAAGACAATCGTTGCCGCTGGTAGTAGTTATACGAGGCACGTGGGTAGGTAACCGTGGCACGACCCCGAGAAGAAGAGAGACAGAGAGACAGAGAGAGTGTGAGAAAGAGAGAGAGAAAGAGAAAGTGCGAGAGAGAGAAAGAGAGAGGGAGGGAGAGAGAGAGAGAGTGCGAGCAAGAGCGAAAGACAGAGAGAAAGAGAGAGAGAGAGCGAGCGAGCGAGAGAAAGACAGAGCCAGGAAGGAAGAGGGTGAAAGAGCGGGACGGTTCGGAGGTATCGAACCGTAAAGTAAAAGGGTGTATATACGACGGACGGGTCTAGCCGAATCTCGCGGATGTCGATATGGCGCGAGCACGGTGGAATGATTCGACACGACCTCGCGTCGTGTACTCGTGTCTCTTGGAGTGCGCGTTACACAGCTCGAAAGCATCCTTTCCTCCTTCTCCTCTTCCGCCGTGCTCGGCTTCGTTCGCTCCTGCGGACGAACGGTGCTCGGTGCATTCATGTCGACGCGCTCGTTCGCGCCCAAACACAGCGATGAAATGAGCGCGCGCGCGTGTATTTTCTCGGTTACCCGACCGATAAATAAACGTCCCCGGCGCTTGTCACACAGTGGACGACGAACTAAGTTCGCAATCTCGGAGAAAGGAGGAATTAAATCGCCCCGGGACATACTCTCTCTCTCTCTCTTTCTCCCCGCGAGGTAAGAAAACTTTTTCAACTTCTTTCCGCTAGCACGACAGCTCGTTTCAGTGACTTGAACGCGCGCGCGTCCTCCTTCCGCGTTTATGGACGGACCTGGGATATGACTGAATCCGCCGAACGGTGCATATATCGGTAAATGAAAGGTATACAGAACATCGTGAATCGGTAAATAAAAGGTACACTGAAAAAAGTGCTATCGTTCGAGTAATATTTACTTGATCAAAGTAAGAAATGGTTAATTCCAATACTCCTTGGCAAGTATTGGCTATTTACTAGAAACATAATTGACTATGTACGATATGAGATTTCTCTCGTAAATAGATATTATTTGTACGTGTTAAAACAATCGCGACAAGTATTAAATTGATAATATTGAAAATATAGGAATTTATCTGAATTATTAAAATTTAGGAAATATTTACCAGACAGGAAAATTGAAATTTACAACCATTAGATTTCTAAAATGGAAAAAAAGTATCGCATAATTCTTTCTAACAAATATTTTCTTAAATTTGAAATTATCTTATATTTACGCTCAGTAAAATTCATTTAAAAATTAAGATATTGCTGCATTCAGTAAATATTTATTACAAGCTACTACACTTAAATTGATAAAAATATTGCTTGATTTAAGAGATTGAGAAACAGAATTATACATTTACTTCATTCTAACACTTTTTTCTGTATATATATAGAAGTCGAAATAGATTTCGCCAAAATCGCGAAGAGTTTGTGGATTCGGGGATAACTCTTTTCACGGCAACAATTTGAGCGCGTCGACATGAGCGCGAGAAATCGCAGGATGCTTCTCGAAAATAACAGGTAGCACTCAACAGCGAACGCGATGATCGCACACCGTAAAAAATGTTATGTCAAAAAACGGTATACTGAAATTTTTTATCAACATATGTTGACAAGGTGAATGTGTTATTTTAGCATTATATTTGTGTACTTTTAACGCATTCCTCGTGTTAAAATAACACGACATTTCAGTAGACCATTTTTAACGCGAAATTTTTTACCGTACGCGGCAAATAAAAATTGCGTGCGCGATTGGTGTGTATCGGCGTACCCGGCAAATCAAATTTACCCGTAAAAGCGATATCTGCGCGTGCGCCGAGCCGGTTGGCTGGCTCGTATCCGACAAACGCGAGCGACGCTGCGAAATTTGAACCGAGCACCGATCCTCCAAGAGTATCGACCGCGATAAGGGGGAAGGGTAGCAGGATCGAGGGGCTCCCGAAGAGCAGGCGCACTTACTTTCAGTTGTATGATGGTCTGCGTTGAGATATTATGCCCTTGCTCCTGAAGTCCCTAGAAGTAGGTCAACACTACGGGTAAAAAACCAAATCGCTACAAGACAAAAACAAGGGAGAGGGGGGGTTGCGGTTTTACGATCGGGGCGGGAAGCGTGGCGGGGTGTCTATATGTAGGGGCTATATATTTCGAGGTTTCTCGTATCTCACTGTTCTTCCGAATCCAAGGCATGCCCAGAGATATACCTAAATACTGTAACTTAAAGTAAACACCATTACCAACCAAAAACCAAAGTGAGAAAGCGCGTCGCCGACGACCGTTCGTGTCCGGTGGCACCCTCTTCTTCGGCCGATCTGCGCGTCGAACGCGTGACGCGTGTTAATGCGGTCTCGATGGTCGAAAGATTCGCGGAGGATTCAACGAAATGCGCTTCTCGATATTAGGACGTCGCTAAACAGCCTCGCGGGAGAAACACGGAGAAACATCATTTCGCTGTTGTAGCGAAACCGCATCGTTGCTACTGCATAATTCATTGCAACAGCGATAAAATGTAGTTTACTTAACCGAGCGAATTAGAGCGGAAACAGTTCCGTTGCCGGGATAGGAGAATTTTTCGGGCGAATTTCGCCGTTCGAACACGTTGATTCGCTGTTAGAACACAATAGCGTATTCCCGCGGCAATCGCTAATCTGTTCTCGCGGCGAGTAATTTGAAGATTCGGCGAAATAGCAACTGACAGATTTCGCTGTGTCAGCGAATTACTTTTCTCCGTGAACGTATTCCGATCTCATGTAAACGACAGTAAGACTCTTCGACTCAAACAATACGAGGAAGAAAGAACGACATTCTATATCGCCGAAGACGCGAACACGTTTTACACGCGGCTGTTGTCGCTTGTCAAAGTTCTAAATAACCCCGAGTCGAGCCTCGAGACCGCGTTGAACCGGCGTCAAGAGTCCCGAAGTCACGTTGAAACAACATCATCAACGAGGATTCGAAGCCGTGTGCCGGGAGGATGAAGGAAAACAAGAAGAAGAAAGTGCCGATTCGACGATCGAGCGTCGACGTCGCGCGCTCCGACCGCATAAACCAACGATAGAACGTTACACCGAAAGCACCTCACGAGGCAACGACTAGCTAAAGAACGGGAGGGAGGGGGG